GAGAATCTGGAATGCTGCACACGAAATACAAATGGATTGACGGAAAACACAGGGCGAGCGAATGTAGGTATGGCTCAGGTACAGTAGTGTGTGGATGGGAGGCAAGCGACGCTGCAAAGGCAATGTGATGTGTGTGATGTAAATGATGTAGTGTATGATGTGTGTGTGTGTGTGTGGTGTGCTGTGTGGTGTGTGTAGAATTAGTGTGACCTGGTGTGCGTGTGTGCAGGTGCGTGGTGTGTGTGTATGTGTTGTGGTGTGGTGGCCGTCGCCGCTGACGCGCGTGGTGTGGTGTGCGGTGTGCGTTGCGTGTGTATCCCTCTATGCAAATAGCTAAGTATATAATAAGTATCAATTTATATGTTATGCTATTTATTTCATAATATATATGATATATATATATACGTAAGGTAATATGTAATACTATAAATATACTTATATAAATAGGTAATACTGTCAATTTTTGTATGTGAAAAATTATTTGTATTTTTTTTGTTATAAAAGAGCTGACAACGTTTTGTACATTTTTATAGTATGTTTATATTTCTGTGGCGTAGCTATCTGGCATTGGTGTTCGTGGTGTTTTGAATACTTCTATATAATATAAATTATATATAGTAGGTGTATATAGTAGTATATAATATATATATAGTACAGAGTATTACTTGGTAACGGCACCAACCAAACTGGAAGTATTGGGCAAAAGCGAGCGCGTGTATTTTTTCAAACAAAAAGGTTTCGTTGTTATTTCGGAAATCTGCGACACATGATGATAATAACTCACGACAACACAACAACAAACCAACTGGAACAAAACAATCAACATACAACCAACAACATGAACGACAAACAAAAATGGCGACTAGATCGTGTACACGCGTGACGAAAAAACCTCTTAGACAATGTAAACAGTCTACTACATACGTATATGCAGCTAATATATGGACTGCTGCTGCTGTCTTGTTGCAGCCCTCTGCTCCATCCACACACTACGTGACCGGCGTACCGTATATCGCTCCCTGTTCCCAACCATTATCGGCATTCCCTCAGATTTTAACCACCGCCAAAATGGCTTCCTAGCAACGGCGAGTCTCCGGCAACGGCAGCTTGCGCCTCCCCCTCCCGTGGGAGATAGATTGCTTTCCTGTTAAAAACCGATGCAACGCGAGACCTCTCGCGCTCGCGGTGAGAGGTAAACGTCCCCGGAGAGATGTTTCACGTAATCAAGCGGCAGCGGCGGAGAAGGCGGCGGAGGAGGCGGAGAAGGCGGCGGCGGAGGAGGCGGAGAAGGGCGAGAGGCGAATACGAATGAACGCGAGAAGGTTTAGTAGACAGGAAACGACGGCGGCTGTGTGACGTCACCGAGATAGCGCTCGTCTGTTCTCGTCTGCTCTAACCATAGAAATATATAAAGAGACACTATAGTAATCTAACTAGCATATTATTTCTATGGCTCTATAACTGCAGAAAGAGATTTCAGTTCGGTACTGTTCTTCCGGTGTCGAATTGCATGCGTGTGGATGGTGGTTGCAGGGAAGGGCTGGTGATGTAGGGGCAGTTCATGTAAATGTATACGCATTAGTAATATCAGGGGAGAATAATGACACATTTTCATTTGTCCTTATTCATCCCTGGTATTAGTAGTAGTATCAGATGGCGGTGTATGGAGAACGAGGGGTAGGAGCGTGCGTATTACAGTAGGCCTATACGTGTATATGCATATGTACAAACGCGAGGGACGCGTTGAGGTTGAAGAATTGATAACGGGAGAAAAGGGTGGATGGCTGTCTCAGAGAGGATAAAATACACACATGTATATATATATATATATATACTGCATATATACGTACGTAGTAGACTTTTTACATTGTTCTTAAGAGTTTTTTCGTCACGTGTACAGGATTAGTCGCCATTTTGTTGTCGTTCATGTTGTTGTTGTTGTTGTTGTTGTTGTTGTTGTTGTTGTGGTTGTCGTGAGTTAATATCATCATGTGTGGCAGATTTCGAAATAAACAACGAAACCTTTTTGTTTGAAAAATACACGCGTCGCTTTTGCAATACTCTCAGTGGTTGTGCCGTTGTATATATGTAT